AGGTTGTGGTTTCCAGCAGCAAGCAGCCATTCGTCTCTAAGCTGTACCCCTGCAAGAACCTGCATAGATTCAGTGGTCTGCTGGAGCCAGCTCACATAGCAAGAGCTGATGGTTAAATTTTTAGGAATTTTGCAAGCCCATTGTTAAATGATTGGTAGCTTGAAACAGGCCATGGTGGGAGTATTTATGTACATTGCTGCCTTACCATGCAATCATGTAGCATAGTCCTTGAGAGAGCAAATATTCAACAACTTTTCTTTTTATTATTTTTTCAAGATTTTATTTATTTATTTGAGAGACAGAGAGAGAACAGGAGCGGGGTGGGTGGGGGGAGCAGCAGAGGGAGAAGCAGGCTCTCCGCTGAGCAGGGAGCCCGACGATGGGCTTGATCCCAGGACCCCGAGATCATGACCTGAGCCAAAGGCAGACACTTAACCGACTGAGCCACCCAGGCGCCCCTTCAACAACTTTGTGAATGATATAGGACAAGTTCCAAAAAAGTAAATGGCCACGTGTAGGTCAAGCCAAGGTTGAAGGTGTGTATACTGAGAACACTTATTTTGAAGTGGCAACTTAAAAGCAAAAGATATCTTGACGTGAAGAAGCTTTGAGTTCTTTTTTTTTTTTTTAAAGATTTTATTTATTTATTTGAGACAGAATGAGAGACAGAGAGCATGAGAGGGAGGAGGGTCAGAGGGAGAAGCAGACTCCCCGCCGAGCAGGGAGCCCGATGTGGGACTCGATCCCGGGACTCCAGGATCATGACCTGAGCCGAAGGCAGTCGCTTAACCAACTGAGCCACCCAGGTGCCCGAAGCTTTGAGTTCTTATCTACGATGTCCAAATGGCCCACGGGGTTCACCAGGGGAATAAAGGCTACTTGTGTTCCGTAAATGCTGACATCACATGGTTAGAGGAAATCAACCTGGTAAGTTGGAGGACTGAGCGGGCCTGTCTTTGGAGGCAGGGATTGAGTGATTGCCTGGCTATACCGCACCTCTGTGTTGAGAGAAAAAAGTGAGAGTTTGCTTATTTTATTTTATTTTATTATTTTGAGGTTGCTGTATTTTAAACAGAGCAAAACGTTTTGTGTTCATCTTAAATTTATTGTATTTTGTTTGCATGCAGCTGATTTCTTTCTTGGGGAATGTTTGCCCGATGCCATTCGAAACCCCGCCCTCAGAGAGCTTGTAATCTAGAAGGGGAGACGGCACGAGCCCTGGTCTGGAATCTGAGGCTCTCCTCAGTAAGTTGAATTTATTACTTCTTTTTAGAACAAAAGTATAAATAAAAATTGGGTCATGGCCCAGATGACAGAAACGAGAACCTTGATTTAGAGGTTCCTGTTTGCATGTCTGTAGCCACCTCAATGCACGCATTTGGTTTGTTCTGAGCCTGACCTGTGCACAGAAGTCTTTGGAGTCGGACTTGGGTACTGCACTCTAGCAGAACTAGTGCGCTGCTTCCCCTGGGTGCGTCTCATCACGGGTAAGCCGTTGCTTTGCATTTCTTAAGAAGTGATTCAAACTTTTCAGAAGCTGGTTCTGAAGGTTTTAATTTGGCGGCCACATTTGCAGGGCTCTCCACCTCTGAGGGAAGGGACTGCCGTAAGGTAGGCTGGTGGGTGCAGTTTTCGTTTCTGTAGTGTAGAGTCACTTCTGTTAAGATCCTCAGAGAATAAAGGGGAAGAGGTTTGCTCTTTTTTTTTTTTGTCTTTCATTTTACTCATTTCTTTTATTTATTTATTTATTTATTAATTTATTTATTATTTTTTTATTCTTATGTTAATCCCCATACATTACAACATTAGTTTTAGATGAAGAGGTTTGCTCTTAATGAAAGAGTAGATGATGATGGTGGTGGACTTTAGCTTATAAGTTGCCTCTGTTTTTAGGTAGAGCAGTGACTGACTAGTCCTCCTGACTAGTTGTCCTTCAACTCACGGCAGCACTTGTCCCTGACCGGTTCCTTTCTCCCGATCCTAGACAGGCCAATATTTTTTTTTTTTTGAAGATTTATTTATTTATTGGAGAGAGGGTGTGTGCCCTAGCGGTGGGGGCGGTGGGGGCAGAGGGAGAGAAAGTCTCAAGCAGACTCCGCGCTGAGTGTGGAGCTGGACATGGGGCTTGATCTCACGATCCTGAGATGATGACCTGATCTGAAACCAAGAGTCGGAGGCTCAACTGACTGTGCCACCCAGATGCCCCTAGACAGGTCAATATTTAACCTTAAGAAGTTAGGAACTTAAACCTCTCAGTGTCCTTATTCGTCATGCTCTGATCTCATGAAGGCCTATTGTAGGGTGGTTTAGGTGTAACCCTGAGGAGGGAGCAGCAGTAATGACTTCTAAAGTCCCCCTCAGGTTAGAGGGTTGACCAATGCCATTGAGATTCTCTTACAAGGAGCCATGTAACCTCCCTGCCCGATGTAGGATAAGTGGTCTTGGAAGGACCAGAAGTTCATGCCTTAGGGTGGTTACATGGATTCATGTACCTAAAAACAATGAGAGCCTGGAGGTGTGCAGCCAAGAGTAAACTGAGGGGACTTAGCATGGGGGGGGGGGGGAGTGGGAGGAGGGCTATGTAAGGGAAGCCTGTGTGGTTGTCTGTTTGCTCAGTGGTTGGTTGTCCCTCTGGGTTGGCGGGGGAGGGGGGGGCAAACACCTGCCCTCAGACAGCACCTCTCCCTATTTTGTCTTGTGATATCGTAATATTCGGGGGTCATTTTCACATCCTGTGTGGTAGTCTCATTGTCATGAGTCTCTTTTTTGAAGATGTTTTGCTGTCATCATTGTGCCAAGGGAAACAGTTCTTCTGCACTGTTAATGATGGGAAAGGGGATCCTTATAGTTACAACTCCCGGGGGTGATAGAAGACATTTGCCAGGAGTTCTATTGTGAAAGCGCCATGAGCCCAGGTGCAAATGTTTGGCCAACATATGAGCTGCCTTACTGTGCAGAATTATCTCAAGAACATCTGCTGGGGAGATGTCAGGACCTGGAGAAGAAGCAGTGTAGAAGCTGAGAATTTAAATGGAGTCTTATTATGAAGGTGCTGAAGGAGCATCTGATGCTTTGGTTGGATTTCTAAAGACTGAGATTCGTTTATATAGATATTCTGTGTTTGTGTATGTAAAATTCTGAGTTTCATTATTCAGATATATATGTTCAGGACATATATATTCGGCATACACACACACACACACACACACACAATAGGAATTTCTGAATATTTGCCAACTAAAGGTAATCAAAACTTGACTAAAGTGTCCTTGGCCCTGTTAGGTGTTGCTCTCTCTTTTGACGAATGGTTCCCAGATCCCCCCTGGGCCTCCCTCTGTGCTAGCCCTGGATATGCAGAGGCACGTAGGCTCAGCTCTTGGCTTCATAGAGCTTATCATCTTGGGAGGTGAGGGTGGAGAGCAAGACTTTAATCAAACAGGCACACAAATAAATAGATAATTAGAGATTGTGACAAGTGCCCTGAAGGAAAGATAAATAGTACTGTTAAAACTTGTGGCTAGGAATCTGACCTGGTGAGCGTGGCTCAGGAGAGAGGTCCCTAAGGAAACCATATTAGCTTGCGATCTGAAAGCTGAACAGTTCATTGGGTGAAGCCGGTGGGAAGAGCATTCAGTCAGAGGAGCAGATTCATCCTGTTGTGATAAATGAAGTTCAGAGAAGCTGGGCTCTAAAACATGGGATAGCTTCACAAACATGAGGAATAGTACTGCGTCGTGAGGGGACAGGTTCTGATTCGGAATGCCTGGGTTTAAATCCTGGCCCTGCTACTTGCTATGCATTATTAGGCGAGTCACTTCACCAGTCTGTGCCTTAGTTTCCCCATCTGTGAGGGCCCACAGGGTTGTCGTGAAGATCAAGTGGGTCAATGTGTAAGGTGCTCAGGCAGTTTCTGGCACATTGCCCTCTGTGATTTATTGCATATCAACGACTGATTTCTAGCGTGCTCCTATATTAACTAGGGGGGCCGAAGAAGTCCGGTCCTTTCATGTTAAGGATGAGGCCCAGGGAGATGGAGCAATTTCCCAGAGAGCAAAGAATTAGTTATAGAAGGTCTGACCCAGGAGGAGAATTTTTTTTAGAAATTCAGTGCTTTTTCCATGAATTCATTGTTTCTCTCTTCGTTTACAGAGTTCTAATGGTGCATATGAGTACTTTGAACCAAAAATGGTATCTTCTATTCATTAGATTGCACATTTTTAAAAATTTGTTTGAAAATGGTTGAGTGTGGCTCTGAGTGACTTGAGTTTGGTGACCAGGTTCAAAGTCTCTTTGGGATCGCTGGTGTTGTCTTAGAATAGAATGGCCGGTTGTAGGAGATCTAAGTTGATTTCAATGTGATGGTCACATCCGCAGCCAGCAGCAGTTACCCAGCATATCCCAGCATATGCCAGGCACAGGCCTGGGACACAAGAACATATGGTCCTTCTTGAGACTGTAGACTTAATGGGGTTTGGTGTAGACGCGTAAATCAGTTGTTACTCCTCCAAGTAGATGGTGCATTGCTCTGGGGGGATGTACAAGAACGGTTTGCTGGACAGAGGAGGGAGCACAACCAACTCCCTGAAGACGAATGCATCCAGAATGTGCAGGGGTCTCAGAAGTCCAGATATGATGCATTAACACCATGACATACTATAAAGGAAGTCCTTTATAGTGCTCACCCAGGTACGTGTGGGGTGGGATGGGCATCAGAGCCAGAAGAGGACTGTGGCTGTCTTGAGAGAGATCTGCCTTTTCATCAGGTGTACTTATGTTTGGGGAAACTTAATGTGACTTTTTTTTTTTTAAAGATTTTATTTATTTATTTGACAGAGAGAGATAGCGAGAGCAGGAACACAAGCAGGGGGAGTGGGAGAGGGAGAAAGAGGCCTCCCGCGGAGCAGGGAGCCCGATGCAGGGCTCGATCCCAGGATCCTGGGATCATGACCTGAGCTGAAGGCAGACACTTAATGACTGAGCCACCCAGGCACCCCTAATGTGACTTTTGGTATATCTGAGTCAGTGTTAATTATTATCTACGTTGTGATGGGATTCGAAAATTGAAACTTGAAAGTTTCCAGTTCATTCTGATTCACCATTTGCCATTCTTCTAAAGGTAGATGTTCAGAACCCAAATCTCTCCTAACACAACAAATTCTATTTCCTATCTGATTTTAGGTTATGAAAAATAGGATCTTATGTGGTAATGATTTCTAACTTTTCAAAGCACTGTTATCTACATTATCATATTTGATCCTTGCATTATTATCCCCATGTTATAGGCAAGGGGACCGAGGTTGAACAAGGTCAACTGACTTCTCTGCATAAATGGGACCTAGGGTAGGACTTCCTTGAACAGTTTGACCCTGATTTTCCAGATGGAGGATTTTGTTGGTTAGAACTCAGGTAAGGACTCTCTTAGGTAATCATTTTTTACAAGTTAAAATGACCACCATATGTGCTAGACTTCCCAGCAGAGCTGGGTAGGGTACTGTGATGGTATTACACAAAAGAGACCTTTCCTCCTTGAAGGTTCTAGGTAGAGTTCCTTCAGTGGCAGGATTTTTGGGGTGCAGGGATCATGGCTGAGACCAGCCACAGTAGGTGGTAGGAACCCAAGGCTGGTTGGATTGCAACTCCTTGGAGTTGGTCTTCTTCTGTTTCATTAAGAAAAATGTGGGGCAGGGGCGCCTGGGTGGCTTAGTCGGTTAAGCGTCTCACTCTTGGTTTTGGCTCAGGTCATAATCTCAGGGTCCTAGGGTTGAGCCCTGCATCAGGCTCTGTGCTGGGTGTGGAGCCTGCTTAAGATTCTCTTTCTTGGGGCACCTGGGTGGCTCAGTCGTTAAACATCTGCCTTCAGCTCAGGTCATGATCCCAGGGTCCTGGGATCGAACCCCGCATTGGGCTCCCTGCTCGGCAGGAAGCCTGCTTCTCCCTCTCCCACTCCCCCTGCTTGTGTTCCCTCTCTCGTTGTGTCTCTCTCTGTCAAATAAATAAATAAAATCTTTAAAAAAAAAAAAGATTCTCTCTACCTCTTCTTCTGCCCCTCCCCACTCTGTCCCTCTCTTAAAAAAAAAAGTGGGGAAAAAGGGGCAAACCCCCCACCAAAACCTCACCATGGACATTTCATGCAGCTTCTTTCTGCCACAGAGCTTGGTGAATACCTTAACTGGGTTGAAAATTTTCTCATTTGTGTATCTCCTTTCCCACACGTCCTGAACATTATCTGTTTAAAAGTGGCAATTTTAATTTAGTTGGAGAGATAGGCAAAACTTTCATGCTGAGTCTCCTGTAATCTCCTGTTTGCGTGAAACCGTGAGGTTGTAGGATCGCTAGGGTTGTCACCTCAAGAATATCCTGAAATTAGTTGCTTTTTTCCTCTCGAAAAGCCACTTTCATCTAATCTTCCCTAACAGCCAGTCTAAAGTGGCCCCCAAGCGACTCTCCAAACACCGCTCTGTTTTGTTTCATCATAGCAGATTCCAGCATCTCCTACTTTCTTGTTCATCCATTTGCCTCTTTTTTTCTTCCCCCCTCCATCTCCCCCCCGCTTACAAACTGCACGTGAGCGGGGACTCTGCCCTTCTTGTTCGGGTCTGCATCCCAGAGCCTCAGACAGCGGCTGGCCCACGGAGACACTGACTGTGGGTTTGCTAAATTAACAAACTTCTCTTGATGCTGTTTTCTGATTTTTGTTTTCTTTTATCTAAAGATTGAAAAATTGGTGAGCAGCATGTTTTGCCCACTGAAACTCATCCTGATGCCAGTGTTACTGGGTAAGTAGAAACCAAGGGATCAAGGAGGGGACTTGATTTCTCGTAAGTCTCGTGCATCGTCAAAAGCCACTTTTATATATTCTCGTTTCCCCCTTGGTTTGTTGAAAACAGGAAACCCTAACCTGGAACTTCAGAGTTTTGTTGGAACAGCTGTTTTCGAAGCCAGGGAGCAAGCTCTTTCTTGGAAAGCTGAATCTTCCTGTGTTTCTATTAGACACTGAAGGCCTTCGGGTCCTGAGCTGGGCGTTCTGGGACTTTCCTGTGTGCTACAAAGAACATGTCTCTCTGGGATTCCTGAATTCTCAATTGTGACTTTAAAACCACAGCTAGTCTCAGATCAGGAAATGAAATCACCAGAGAGCCCCAGAATCCCTGCAGCCCCGTGTTCATGCTTTTGCCATTCCAGCCTTCTTGTGGTTCCACAAATGTGCTGAGCTCTTTCACAATCTGGGGCAGTTTCTTTTGCCAAGAGCTCTTTTCTCTTCACCTTCCCCGAGCAAGCCTGCCTAAGCCTTCCTTACCCTTCAGGGTTCTCTGTGAGCTCCACTTCCTTCTAAAAACCTCCTCGGGCTGCCCCCGCAGGTGGGGTCGGACTCTCCCGTTCTCGAACCCTCTGTGCTCAGGGCTGCTGCTTGTGGTTCAGCTCTTCTTTCTAAGTTGTTCATCCTCTCTCCCCGCCTTTTCTCTTTATCCACAGATCTAGCTCTGTGGGAGGAATAAATGACTCAGGAGGTGCTTTGCTCTCGTCGTCTCTTATTTTTCTCTTTTTCATTATTATTATTATTATTTTATTTTTTTTGTAGCTGGACATGGTAACCTAAATACTGACTCAGCCAAGTACAGAAAGAACTAACTGCCTTTGCTCTAATTCCAGGGAACATAGAGTGTGCACACACAGGCAGGCAGACAGACATACAGACACCCCCCACCCCACCCCCCGGAAAAGAGGATGTATTTAAGAGAATTTGTTTTTACAGAAGCAGGGCTGTCATGCTCTGGGCGGGGGGGCTTTAGGCATTTGCTCAGAGGTGCGGGAAGCAGCCCTCCCAGCCTGAGTTAGCAACCCAGTCCTGGAGCTAGTGGCTTGCTGGCATCAGGGGGTTTGTGGAGAGGTTTGTCCTCCTCTGTGGAAAGTCTCATTTTCTTCAGCCATTTCTCGACCGATGTGAGTTTCTTTTCGCTCCCGCTCCCGTGGCCACTTTTGCTTTCTACCTGCCCTCCACCCCTCCTGCCACACACAGTGCTCCCCAGACTCAATTACTTGCGCTTCTTACGCCTTTAACCACACATCAAGCTGCTCAGTTCTTCCTTACAGGAAAATTCCAAATAGGTTTTGGAGCTAATTTTGATTTCTTTCAAAACAAGCCCCTCCAAAGGGTTTGGAGTTCATGTTTTCTTTTCCGTCTTCCCTACCATGTGCCTGCTGTTGGGCAGGAAGTTGATGCTCTTCTCTCAGCTTGCGTGGAAAGACTGGCACACTTTCTGTTTATTCCCACATGCATTCACTTGGCTTTTCCTCCATATAAACTGGCCAGCATCTAAACGTGTCTTTCTTGATGTTGTTGTCTCTTTGCATAGAGCACATCTTGTGAAAACAGAAATAGCCATGTAAGGGTTTTCTCTTTTAGTGAAAAGAGAAATGACTTGAGCAATATACAGATAGCGGAGTGGTGTCATGCATGCAAAACACCCTCAGGCTGAAAAGCTAGGGCTGATGGCAAAACTGGAATGGGAAGGTGGGGAGAAGACAAGCACAAAGGAGATTCAAGTGGAGAGCCGTGCTCTGTATTGGCCTCATTTTTTTAAAGAATGTTTTTCTTTTTCTTTTTTTAAAATCGTATGTATTTATTGGGGTGGGGGAGGGGCAGCAGGACAAGCAGACTCTGGTTTGAGCACAGAGCCTGATGCTGGGCTCGATCCCAGGACACTGAGATCATGACCTGAGCTGAAACCAAGAGTCTGACGCTTAACCACCCAGCCGCCCCTGTATTGGCCTAATTACAAGGACCTGCATGACAGCCAGAATCAGCCAGCCAAGTCAGAGATAAGTTTTTGTAAAGGAACTAGAAAAAAGGAAAAGAGGAAGGAAGCAAAAATACCTGTGAATAGGGAACCCATGGGAAACTAGGAGCAAGAGACATCTCATTTCCTGTTCATGGATGTCTAAATTTGTGACCTGAAAGGAGGATGTCAGGGTTTCTCTTCTTTCTTTAGACAGGAGCTTAGAGAAAGGAATTCTGGGAAATGGGGAAGGGAGCAGTTAGGAGAACGGGAGCAGATATGCATTTTTGCAGTATGAAGATTGCAGAACCCCTCTGACTTGGGAGGCCTGTGTGTAACTAGAGGGTATCTTTCTTACCCTTGGGAAAGCCATGCTGGCTTGAGTGACGGGCCTCTGAGTACTTTGTGTCAGGTGATCTGGGGAGGGAAGATGTAGAGTTACTTAATGTAGATTACTTAGTGATTAACTGATTTTTGTTGTTGAGGGTATTTGTCTAAATGATGTCTCCTCTTGCCTTTGACTTCTATAGATTATTCCTTGGGCCTGAATGACTTGATTGTTTCCTCCCTTGAGCTAACAGTCCGTGTGGGTGATTCAGCCCTGCTGGGATGTGTTTTCCAGAGCACAGAAGAGAAGCGTGTGACCAAGGTAGACTGGATGTTCTCATCAGGAGAACACGCCAAGGTAACAAGGAGGAAATATTACTGTAGAAGCCCCTGGCCAGTGGTGTCAAGACAGTGAGGGGAGAGGGAGAACCAGGTCATCAGGTGCCATGAGGTGGTGTTGCAAGAGTTTGGGCTGTGAAGCTTGTCAGAACTGGGCCTCTTCCTAGCTTGTCCCTTTGGCTATGTAATCAGCTGGGCAAGTTACTCAACCTTGATGAACTTCAGCTTCCTCATCTGTGGAGATTGAAGGTCATTATCATAATGGTAACGCTTACCTTTTGGGTCATTGAGAAGTAATGGACGACATGCACATAAAGTTCTTTTTGTTTCTTTTCTTGATGTCTGCCCTTTGTAGAGTAGTATAGGTGGGTGGGAGGGCTGAGGAAGGTGAGAACGTTGGTCTAGACAGAAGAGGCATGAGAATGATGTCACAGGAATCTTTTTTGTGGGGGAGAGGGCCAGATTCTTTGAGCATTCCGTGCCCCAGAGTTCACCTCTTTCTCCTTCATGGGGCTGCTTCAAGTGTTCAAGTGTTAGGATCAACTGATACAGCATGGTCTTTCATGGGAGCTCGTTGGAGTGGGAAATAGTGTATAAACCTCATTAGAGGTTCTGTGGAGTTATTTGTATCTTAGGATCATTTCTGAAATACATCCTAAGTAATGTGTTACTAACAGTAAGGTCCTGAAGTTTGCTGATGAAATGTTCTTTCTGTAGCTCATAGCATGTTATTACTATAATGCTACTCTCACTCAAATTTTTATTAGTATTTTTTATTATAAGAGGGATAGGCCCATGGTGTAAGTAGAAATAAGGATTTCCCAGGGCTCCCTGTCCCAGCCTGGAAGCCACTCCCTGATGATGACTCCTTCACAAGCTGTATGATATGCTGCCTGGAGGAGGGCAGAAAGGGGAGGAGTGACAGCCAACATGCCAGCCAAGGATCATCACAACTGCCAGTCTGGGGGATTGCATCATGTCTTTGAATGCCATCCAGTCTGGGGGCCAAGGCGGAAAACAGGGTGAACATGAGACAAGGTTTTCAAAAGTTCAGATCCCCAGAGTGGTCTTCAGAGTGGGCATTACATTTTACCTTAAACTGTAAGAAGTGAATATGCTTCACCGTTTGTCCTTGTATAAAATAAGGTACTGGGCCATGTCCGAGTTAGAGCGTTGCCTGGCACATTATTATTATTCGCTGGGTACCAAGTACTTTTTTGATCATGATGATGATGGTGGTGGTGGTGGCGATGATGATGGTGGTGGTGATGGTGGTGGTGGCGGCGATGGTGGTGGTGGCGGCGATGGTGGTGGTGGTGATGATGGTGGTGGTGGTGGTGGTGATGATGGTGGTGGTGGCGGTGGTGGTGGTGGTGGTGATGGTGACAGTGGTGATGGTTCTGGTGGCGGTGATGATGGTGGTGGCGATGATGATGGTGGTGGCGGTGGTGGTGGTGGCGGTGATGGTGACAGTGGTGATGGTGGTGGCGGTGGTGATGGTTCTGGTGGTGGTGATGATGGTGGTGGCGGTGATGATGGTGATGGTGGTGGCGGCGGTGATGGTGACAGTGGTGATGGTTCTGGTGGTGGTGATGATGGTGGTGGTGGTGATGATGGTGGTGGCGGTGATGATGGTGGTGGTGGCGATGGTGGTGGTGGCGGCGATGGTGGTGGTGGTGGCGATGGTGGTGGTGGTGGTGGTGGTGATGCTGCCACTGCCACAGAACAGGGTCTTTTGGATCCAGACTCCTAGGTCTGGTGCCAGTGACTCTAGATTTTCCCCAAATTGTGCTGCCCTCCAGGATGATTATGTGCTGTACTATTATGCCAACCTCAGTGTGCCTGTGGGGCGCTTCAAGAATCGTGTACGCTTGGTGGGGGACATCTTACGCAATGATGGTTCTCTCCTGCTCCAAAATGTGGAAGAAGCTGACCAGGGAACCTATACCTGCGAAATCCGGCTGGAAAGGGAGAGCCTAGTGTTCAAAAAAGCTGTGGTGCTGCATGTACTACTGGAGGAACCCAAAGGTATGTGAATGCTCACTTAGAGAAGGGTGAAGGGGCCAGAGATTTGGCATGCAAAGAAGGAAGGGAACTGATTTTGTTGAACAAATGCCAGCCTTTGGTCTGGGTACATACCAGAGAGTGAATCCACAATAATTGGTGCTCTTTCATAAAAATAATGAGAATGATTATTTTATTTTATTGTATTGTTTTTAAAAGATTTTATTCATTTATTTAAGGGGGTGGTGAGGGGAGGAACAGAGGGAGAGGGACAAGCAGACCCTGCGCTGAGCTCGGAGCCCCATGTGGGGCTTGATCTCACGACCCTGAGATCACGATCTGAGCCGAAATCAAGAGTCGGACGCTTAAAGGACTGAGCCACCCAGGCGCCCCAAGAATGATTATTTTATTACCTTACATGTGTTCCCTTCTCATGAAAATGCTGTGTAGGAAGTATTGATCTTTTCATTTTACAGATGAAGTCATTGAGGCTTAGAGAGGCTTAGATGCGACTTGACTAAGGACACATATTTATTAAATGGCATATCTGGTACTTGAACCCTGGAATCTCTGACAACAAAGTCCTTATTCCTTTTACTCTACCCTGGAACTTCCCATCAGTTATCCACATTGATTCCATGTCCATATCTCGTAGATTCCTATGGTAAATGTTCTGGGGGATAGAAAAGAGATGAGATCTCCCTCACTTCTCTGGTCTTCGTTTTCCCATTTGTCAACGGAGAGTGGCTTCATAGACTGGTGGTTTTAAACTGTGCCCTGTAGAAGCCTGAAGGTTCAGCAAACCTGGTAGACTGAACAAAGGGTGGGAACAGGGCAGAGGGTTAATAGAGGACTGGGTCAGGTCCAAAGTCCTTTCTCTTTTTCCTGTTTTATTCATTGGGCTGCCAGGTAAGAATTTGTGTAAAGATGCCTTAAAAAAAGTTTGGAAACTGCAGAATAAGATACATTCTTTAAAAGTATGCATTGAGGGAATAGTCTGTGGCCCCAGGAAAGTTTGCGGTCTAGTTAGGGAGCTAGAATCTGGACCTTCTCCCCTCCCCCAGCTGTTTGGGTCCACTCTGTTAGTGAGCTCCTTTGGAGTACCTGGTACGCCTCTTCGGTGACACTTGTAACACCTGTCCAGTTGTGCCTTCCCTGGTCGTGTGGGTCTGTATTCTTTGTCCTCTGACCAGCCCTGGACACTATGCCTGGCACAGAGTAAGCAGTCAATAAACATTTGCCAAATGAGTAAATTTCTTGAATTAGCATCCCTCACTTGAATCCAGTTTCTAAAAAACAGAATTGTAGAAGGAATTGTAGAAGGTGGCCTCTGGTGCTCTCTCCTCATTTTTAGTACGTTTTTTCTTTTCTTTTTTTTTATTATGTTAATCACCATACAGTACTTCATTAGTTTTTGATGTAGTGTTCCATGATTCATTGTTTGCGTATAACACCCAGTGCTCCATGCAGAACGTGCCCTCTTTAATACCCATCACCAGGCTAACCCATCCCCCCACCCCCCTCCCCTCTAGAACCCTCAGTTTGTTTCTCAGAGTCCATAGTCTCTCAGGGTTCATCTCCCCCTCCAATTTCCATTGACATTTTTCTTTTGATTTTCAAAGCTGTAGTTCTCCAGAAAGAGGAAACGAATCGGCTGTTTCCCCAAGGATTATCTTTGGGCTACTCCTTTCCACTTTGTCTTCTGATGCCTTGCCCAGACACTTGTCCATACAAGCATGGTCTACAAAATGGGCGTCTTTTCCCTCTTTGAAGAGACACAGAGGGCATGAACCAAAAGGAGCATCCATGGAAACAGGCTAGAGCAATTTTAGGGTTAGTCACATCCTTCCTCGGTAGCCAGTGGAGCAACCTGTATTTTTCCCGTCTAGCCAGGAAGGGGGTAGAGCCAACTCCTCAAAATGTGCCTGGTGGCCACTGGAAAGTTGTTCAGCTTGTCTGATGGAGGTTTTCTTCCCCCATGTGAAGCCATCTATACTTTTCTCTACAAAGTTTACTCGTCAGTTTATAATTGTTCTACTCCTTCACTTCCTTTTTCTCATAGTTCTTATTTTAAATACTATAGGCAATACTCTTTAAAAAATTTTTTTTAGATAATTTTTTAAAAGATTTTATTTGAGAAAAAGAGAGAGAGCATGAGTTGTGGGGGGAGGGGCAGAGGGAGAAGGAGAAGCAGACTCCCCACTCAGCAGGGAGCTGGATGCGGAGCTCGATCCCAGGACCCTGGGATCATGACCTGAGCTGAAGGCAGACGCTTAACCGACTGAGTCACCCAGGCGCCCCTATAGGCAGTATTCTTGCAAATAAAAATAACAGTAGCTTCCTCTACCCTTTGCTGTAGAATCAGCTGTCCTTCCACTGATGGGAGGTGGCACACTATAGTGATATTTTCTTTCCTCAGGCCTGAGTTTATGTGCTGGCTCTGCCTTTTACGGGCCACATGCCTTTGGGCTCTCTCACCTTCTTCCTCTGAAAATGGGAGAATAACAGTGCATATCTCAAAATATTGTGATGACTAGCTGACATGCTACATACAAAGTGTCTGGCACATGCCTGGTACAGTGGAAGGTGCAGAATGGTTTGGTGTTTATTACTGCATTTTATTTTATCGTATTTTTTTTTTTTTTTTAGTAGGCTCCATGCCCAGTGTGGAGCCCAATGTGGGGCTTGAACTCATGACCCTGAGATCAAGACTTGAGCTGAGATCAAGAGTCAGACGCTTAACAGACTGAGCTGCCCAGGCGCCCCTATTACTGCATTTTAAAAATATAGTTCAGTTCTTAATGTACTGTTGGATTTAGAGGGACTTTCCCTCCCTACCGGTATTCTTTGGAGTGAATTTTTATTACTTACAAAATGATTCCCTCCATAGAGTTTCAAGTTCCTGTTTTCTTTTGCTTTCCTCCTATTGTGCATCTCTCCTGCTGGGCAGGAAGTTCATGTGCTCCCAGAGAAACAATTCTGATGAAAAGGTCAGGTTATGCACTGTGTTTGTTCCTTCATGAGCTTTGCCTAATGTTCTTTTGAACAGTTAAGACCTAGGCTTGTGTCTCCCTAAATACCATCCTGCCTTTCTTTTCTTAACTGACTTTGTGGTTGATTTGTGTAGCAGATTACTGAAAAATCAGAAACATCTTGCTAATTTTTTTTTTCAGGAACCCCTCAAAATGACTTATGCAATAAGCATATGACGGGGTCAGCTGCTTATACAAATAAGCAGAAGGAAGAGCCTAGGAGTTGGGAAGCCTGAAGCAGGGGGAGAGGGATCTTCTTGCGGGGGGGAGTGGGGGCAGGGATTGAAACAGAAAAAAAAGCCAAGAGGAAAGCTGTCTATTGTCTTGGCCTAATTAGCAAGCAGTCCTGTGACCTGTACTGTAGCCAGAACTGTCCTAAGCAAGTCCCAAGACAACTTGTAAAAAGAATAAAAGAAATTGAAGAAAATCGCCTGTGAATCCGTTTTTCAGCTAGAAGAGCCAGTGGGTTATACATAAGCATGAAAGTTATATAACTTTCTACTTCCTGTTTATGTTCAGCAGATGTGGGTGTCTAAGTTGGTGAACAGAAAGAGGGGGCCTCAAGATTTTCTGTACTTTATTTTTTTTTATTGTATTATGTTATCCCCATACATTACATCATTAGTTTTAGATGTAGTGTTCCATGATTCATTGTTTGTGCATAACACCCAGTGCTCCATGCAGAACGTGCCCTCCTCAATACCCATCACCAGGCTAACCCATCCTCCCACCCCCTCCCCTCTAGAACCCTCAGTTTGTTTCTCAGAGTCCATAGTCTCTCATGGTTCATCTCCCCCTCCGATTTTGTACTTTCTTTAGTATAGCTTGAATTGGAGCTGGAACTCAGGAGAAATTCTAGAAAAGGGGAAGGAGCAGGGAACTAAAGGGAATCGCAGAGTGTTTATTGTAGTATGAAGACCCATCAGAGTTGATGTGTGCGGGCAGCCATGGGTACTCTCTTATTCATGGGGTGTCCTGGGAGTAAGAGGCCGCTGGGTACTTTGTCCACACAGGATCATCTGGCTCATCTGTGGAGTGAATGTGCGCAATATTTGGTGGTGACATTGATTTTATGGCTGAGGATCTTTGGCTAAACATGATCTCTTCTGGAAGTTCTTTGACTTTTGTAGATGATACCTGGCGTTTGACTTGAGTTACCATTTTATCCCCAGAGCTCATGGTCCATGTAGGTGACTCGACTCAGCTGGGGTGTGTTTTCCAGAGCACAGAAGAGAAACGCATGACCAAGGTAGACTGGATGTTCTCATCAGGAGAGCACGCCAAGGTAAGGAGGAGGAACCATCAGTGTGTAGTAGAAGCCCCTGGCCGGTGGTGTCAGGACAGTGTGGGGAGAGGGAGAATTTAGGCCCCAGGTGCCATGCCGTGCTATTGCAAGGGGCTTGGGCTTTGGAGCTTGTCAGAACCGGGACTCCGGCTCAGCCACTTGGCTGGGCAACTTCAGCTCCGTGGTGGGAAGAATGACTCTCGTGAAGATGACAAAGAAGAGGATGATATTCCTGCTGCTGCTGTTCATCTTGTAGGATTGTCAAGACACATATACTAGGTCGTCCGTGTAAAGTATTTGTATGTGTCTCGGCCACTGCATTTTAGTTTCCTTCCTCTTTTCCCTTCCCCTCTTTGTAGAGTCTATGGAAGAAGGAGGGGGATGACTTCTGTGGCCTTGTCTCTAAGCTTTGGGCTAGGCATAAGAATGATTGCATTCTTATTTTTATTTGGGTTATTTTGGTAAGTTTTCTTCTGTGCCCCACTGCCCCACTTATGGGATGGAGGGAATTTTCTTTGTCTTTATGGGTGCTCCTGATGTTGGGATTAGAAGGTCCTGGAGGCCAGGGTATGGAGTGGTTCATGGGAACTCTGAAGCAGCAAGTGGCAAGTTAGTTCACTAGACTGTTAGATGTCCTCCATGCATGGTGATGTACATACGGGTCAAGGTGTGTTGTGGGGGATATCCCAGGTCACTTATTAATAAAAATTAAGGTGCAAAGGAGCTTTTCTATTAAGACATATTCCCAGTCACTCCCATAAACAAGTCACTTGATTCCTGTATGCTGAGTGGGGGTGAAAGGGTGGCATCATGGTGGGGGATGGGGAATTCCATGTAGTCCCAGGTCCACCTCTGGGAGCCCGTCATGTGTTTAGACGTCAACCACCAAGTGAGTCACAGCAGAAAACAGGTCGCAAAAGAAATTTTGAGCTGTGAGTTCAAAACACAAGAGAAAAGATATTAGGGACAATGTCTTCTCATTCATGTTTGTGTCTGTATACCCATTTACTTTTCTTAAAAGCTTTTAAAAATAGTAATATTTACTTCCCTTTATAAAAAATTCCAACACTTACTCATTTAACAACCATTTTAAGCACCGATGTGGCAGACACTCAGAGCTCCTGCCTTGATGGGAGACTTATGATCAAGATCAAGGGAAATACACAGTTAAATAAGGAGGAAGTAAATATGTGGTATGTCAGGTAATAGCAAGAGCTATGGAGAACAAGAAATCGGGCATTTGAGCTTCTTGTTTTACATGGATGGTCAGAGAGACCTCCCTGAAAAGATGACATTTGAGCAGAGATCTGCTGGAAGTGAGGGAGCGAACCATGTGTATTTCTGGGGGGAAGTGTATCCCAGGCAAAGAGAGTAGCAAGGGCAAAGGCCCTGAGGCCAGTACTCAAGGAGAGCAAAAAGCCCAGTGTGGATGGAGTAAAGTGACCCAGGTAGGTGAGGGAAGAAAAAGTAGAAGATGAAATCAGAAAGGAAGATGGAGTGGGCAGATCATGGAGCGCCTTGTACTTTTAGTAGAAATGGGGGGCCATCGGAGGGTTTGGAGTAGAGGAGTAACATGATTTAACTTCTATTTCTAAGGGCTCACCTGCTGAGAATAGACTGTAGTTAGGAGTAAGCAGGGAGACAAGTAAGGAAGCTCCTTGCAGGAATTCAGGTGAGAGATGAGGTGGCTTGGACCAGAATGGTAACCATGGAAGAGTTGAGAAATGGCTAGATTTTGGATTTGTCTTGAAGGTAGAGGTGACAGGATTTGCTGCGGGATTTTCAATGTGAGTTTAAGAGAGGAGTTAAGGATGACTCCAAGATTTTTAGTCTGAGCATCTGGAATAAGGCTTTGCCGTTTACCAAAAAGAGATGGACTGGAAGGAGCTGGTTTGGGGGAATAATTTGGAGTTGAGTTTTAGACATGTTTCAAGTGCCTATTGGAAATCCAACTGGAAATGCCTTAAGAAGTAAAGGTGTACTTTTACTTCCTTTTACTGGAGAAGTACAAAAGGGAACACCCCTTGCCCCCTGTCCTTCCTTATCCCTTTCTGCCAATGGGACAGTGGTTTGGTGCATCCTTCACAGCTACACATGCTGTGCGCACACGTGTGTGCATGACTCACGATGCCTCATACTGTCTGATCAGACCTTCACTGCCCACACATACAGGGCCCTATAAGTCCCTAGGGCTCCCCACTCAACCTTCCCCATGCCCTGTCTTCCTCGGTCCTTGCAATCTCATATGTTGCTTTTCCCTTCTAGGAGGAGGTTGTGTTACGTTATTACCCCAAACTCAGTGTCCCTGTGGGGTACTCCGAGAACTGGGGCCGCTTCCAGAACCGTGTAACCCTGGTGGGGGACACTTCCCACAATGATGCGTCTATCTTACTGCAAGGAGTGAAGGAGTCTGACAGAGGAAGCTACACCTGTAGTATCCACCTGGGGAACCTGACCTTCAGGAAAACCACCGCGCTGCACGTGATCGTGAAAGAGCCCCGAAGTATGTGACATTTGGTTGGGGAGGGATGAGGGGCCTCATAGCTAGTAGGCATGGCAGGACTAGGGTGAGGCCAGAGAGGCATCTAGGGTGCAGAATTGCAGGAGGCATGACTCTGAGGTGCTGTACTTGCATACCCTGATACAAGTCCTTGTACCCTGGACTTATGTGACCTTCACAGTGATGCCTCCTTCCATCTGGAGCCCTAGGCACCTTGCTTGCCTCCCTCTAGTTCTGGCCCTGCAGGTACCTCAAAGACGAGGGAGCTAATATTTGGTGAACTCCAGCCTTCCGCCAGAACTCACTCCCTGCCCGTGTAATATACCGATCTAAAGATGCAGGAGCTCAGAGATGGATTGGAGCTGATGTCCAAGGTGTTTTTTCCTCGGATGCTGTACGCTCTGTAGCAGAAGGGAAAATGACCCTGAGCTGGTGAGAGACAGCACAGAGCAGACAGAAAACAGGAAGGGACCAGAACCCCAAATAGAGGTGTTCTCTGATGAAAGGTTCTCTGTCCTGGTAAACATTGTACATTAAAGCCAGTGGTGTATAGAATAAAGACTCTTTATTGTGTGGACCGAGAGAGGTTGATAAGTGAGGGGTTAAAGTTAAATGGTAACACAGTTAACAGTCAGGATGTGGCATGTGGACTTTGCCTTTTGCTAGAGCCCTGCGCTGGGGGTTGGCTGTGGTTTGTTGGGGGCAGGGATGCGGGTGAGGAGGGAACACACCTCACTACCTCTGACCAGAGACTTGAATCTCTGGAGACGCCTTCTTGTAAGACATAGCAAAGGGTCCCAGCTGGAGGGGGAAGAGGGACAGATGGATTTCTTCACTCTCAGAAGTCTTATTCCCACTTCACAGAGAAAATACATACCATGAGTGGGAGCTCACTCAACCTTCAAGCCCCCCTATTACCCTCCCCCCCAGGCCTAACTACATCTGCCCGCATCCTCACCTCTCTGTCTGTCCCACCATGCCAGGCTCCCTTCCGCCCTGGGCTTATCCAAACCTCTGTGCTCAGTTAAGTGCTCATTTTCTCTGTCTCAGGAACCTTGCGCTTTCTACTGGCTTCTGCTGTCCAGCCTATAAATATGCTCACCTCAAAACAACAACAACAACAACAACAACAACAACAACAACAACAAACAAAAATAGGGGCACCTGGGTGGCTCAGTCAGTTGGGCATCTGCCTTCGGCTCAGGTCATGGTTCCAGGGTCCTGGGATCGAGCCCCGCATCGGGCTCCTTGCTCCGCGGGAAGCCTGCTTCTCCCTCTGCCTCTGCCGATCCCCCTGCCTGTGCTCACGTGTGTGCTCTCTCTCAAATAAAAAAAAAAAAAAAAAAAAACCACAACAAATAAATATGCTCACCTCTTCCTCTCACCTTCTGTCCTTGTCTACTTTAGCTCTCATCCTGTGTCTTCTTCTTAAAACAGAAATAACTCACATCCTATACATTCACCCATTTAAAGCCTACAACTCAGTGATTTTTAGTATATTCAGAGTTGTGCATCCTTCACCACAATCAATGATCTATTTCTTTCTTGACCCAGCCAGGTAGCTTGCTAAGAGGCCATAATGTGGTGCCTCCTCTCTCACTTCCCATTAATGCCTTAGTGCATTGCATCCCGGCTTCTGCTTCTGCCTCTGCTCTGGCTTAGGTCACCAATGTGGCTCTAATTACCCACCCTCAGCCTTCTTTGCCCGAGTAGTATTGGACACTGTATTCTTTATTTATACAATATATTCTATGTTGGATTCATTCTTCCTTCCTTCTTTCCTCCCTCTCTCCCCTCCCTCCCACCCGCCTTTCCTTCCTTTTGTCTAATCCATGTATGTATCCATCAAATTCTAGCCAAATATTCCACAGATACTTCAAATGCAACATACCCAGACCTCCTCCTGCACACCTCTCCCCAGCTCATCTCCACCTCAGTCAACACCTTCACCATCTACACAGCTACCTCGCTGGGTGCCTGGGAGTTGTACCTCATTCTTTCCTTTCCCGTGACCCCCCAGTCTCACAGGTCAACCAGTCCTGTCATTTCTACTACTGACTTTGAGTCTGCCTTCTTTCCAGTCCTACACCACACTCTAGCTATCTTCCTCTCTGTCTTGGCCTGTAAGCTTCTAGCCGGTGTCTGCTCTCATTCTCCGCCCCTGCTCGCATTCTCCCTGCAGCTCTCCGTGCCATTTGCTCTAAATCACAAATCTCAACGTTCTTTCCCGGTGCTCAGAGTCTTTCAGTGGTTGGTTCCTCCATCATTTACAGAAAGAAAGCCAGACTCCTGGGTGAGATAATCAAGGCCCTTCATGACCGAGACTCTGCTATCTGTCCAGCCTAATTCCCCACCATGCGCAAATATGCAGCCTTGAGCCAGACCCCTGGAACTATTTCTAATTTCTGAACTTACCATCCTCTTGGGCCTCCAGACCTTGTATGTAATGCGCCCCCATCCTTTTCCATATCGTCCGCCCAACAAACTTGATGTTTCCTGAAGACTTTTAAACTTTAAAACTGTTGTTGAGAGCTTCTCATCTGTTCTGCATAGAATTGGGTACCCTTTTGGACTTCCCATATGGACTTCCATCATGGCCCCCATAGCAGTCTGTGGTTTTCCGTCGACATGTTTGTCCCTCTCCTTGAAGGCAGGGACCATGCATTATTTGTCTTTGAAGCTTCCTTGCCTAGTGTAAATGGCACCCAGGAGTGTTTATGTACGTATTTAGAGTGAATTGAGGAAATGAATGAAGGGTACCTCTTCATTGGGCGGAAGTGCCTTCCTTGGTATCATGACTATGGGGCTGAGTGTATATCCTTTTGAAACCAACCACTTTCTTATAGAAGGATCTGCAGCCTCTAAAACGTCTGTTATTTTACTTTAAGATAGAATTGTTAATGTCAAAGGAAACTCTGCTGTAGGTAAAGTGCTATTCTCTTCTCCCACCCACCTTAATCTACACTGTAGTTAGGGATAAGCAAGGGGGCCACACCTGGTTCTGCATCGAATGGGGACAGCTGGAGTCCCAGTGTTTCAGCATGGGGTGGAGTCTGGCCTTCTCCCCCAACTTCCTGACTTGGCTGTGGCTACTTGGATAGAACTGGTGGGACTCACCGCTCTTTTCTGGATTATTGAGACCCTCTCATTGTTTTTCTCCTTTCCCAAGCATTGGTGACCCCAGTAGCCCTCAGACCTGAGATCCTGGGTGGTAATCAGGTGGTGGTCATCGTGGGGATTGTCTGTGGCACTATCCTGCTGCTTCCTGTTCTGATATTGATCGTGAAGAGGACCCACAGGAATAAGAGGTACAGGGCTGGGTTGGGAGGCTGGTGGTGTCTCGAACCTGAAGTGGAAGAGTGATAGGGTCCTAACTATGCCATTCTCACAGAAGGGGGTACTTTTTTTTTTTTTTTAAGATTTTATTTATTTATTTATTTATTTATTTGAAAGAGAGAGAGAGAGAGAGAAACAGCATGAGAGGGGGGAGGGTCAGAGGGAGAAGCAGGCTTCCCGCTGAGCCGGGAGCCCGATATGGGACTCGATCCCAGGACCCTGGGATCATGACCTGAGCCGAAGGCAGTCGCTTAACCAACTGAGCCACCCAGGTGCCCTAAAGGAACATGTTCTAATTCTGAGAGGGTATTTTTGGATGGATGCCCTATGTTATTGTTGAAATGTGTTGTTAAAGTCTTGAATGCATCCCCCCTTCTCCCAGTGTCTCCAAAATGCCCAGATGCCCAGACATAGCAACAGTGTTTCACTGGCCGTTGGCAGGCCCATGTCCCTCCATTTACCCAACTGTCCATGATGAGATACATTGCTGGGGCAAACTGGCTCTCTTGCTGAAATGCTGTCATTGGGCAAAGACCCCCATTACCGGGTGCTGCCTTCTGAGTCTCCTTTCCCATGAAACATGGACTCTACAGAAAGTGCTTTGCCTGCTGGGTTTGCACTTCGTTTCCCAGGGCCTCTCTGACTTGGTTTGAACTTGGCTGGCCTCTCTGAGGGTCTTTGCTCTGGGCGTGCAGATGGCCCTGAGCCCAGAGTTAGACAGCCATTATCAACTCACTGCCCCACCCTGGGCCTCAGTTTCCCTCAAAATGAAATCAGTACTTCCATGTCTACTAGCTTACCCTAAAGAAACAATCAGACTGATATCCTGAGATTTGTAAACACAGTTGCTGTAGCCCTGATGATAATTAAACACTGAAATCATCCACAGTGACTGTCAGGAATGAGTCACTGAATTAGTATTCCACTCGGTGACATACTGCACAACCCTGATTGTAATGGCATGGGAAAATGTCCCATGTGTAATATGTAGTATGATCTCAGTTTTATAAAAAAGAAAATTATATAATGCTCACTGTAGCAGCATATACAATAAATATATTTTGTGTGAGCGCACGTTCCTGCACTGAGAAAGAATAATTCCAAAGTCTGAGTAGTGCTATTTGAGAGAAAAGAGAAGATGGGTCCCATGAGGGCAGGAGGTTTACTAGGACTTCAATCTCCAACTCTCTCTGTTTCTTTACTATTTGAATTATTTTTACAATTAGAACACACAACCTCATAATCAGAAAGTATGAGAAAACTATTCCCTCCACTTTGAGACAAAAAAAAAATACAGTTTCTTTTCTAGCTTCAACCCTGATATTTATTTTTTTTTTTAGCTCTACCTTAGGCCAAAACAGAAAAAAGGGAAGTATATTCAGTAGCAGATGCAGAAGGCAGATGGTCAAGAGATCAAAGTCCAAGGGCTGGGAATGGGCCAGCGAGCTGGCGGCTGGGGATGGGGAGGGAGTGGGGTTGTGGCGCTAATTCTCCTTGGCCGCCTCACTAGGGCGCGGGGGGGGGGGGGGGCTTTGAACTGGGTGTCGCTGAGCTTCTGTTGCCCCCTGCTGGCTCAGCTACATCTCCCCAGTCCTAGGTTCTGATAACATCGAATCCCCAGGGCAGCGCTCGCTATTAATTCACGTAAAACTGTGGACAGAAAGATGTTAGCTAGGTAATAGAGACCTCGAAGCTGTCTAGCCCAGACTCCCTCCAGAATGCCTCCCTGCTCTCCACCAGAGAGATGCACTTCTCAGATTTCATGGTGAACTGGGGAGTCTAGGGAGAAGAGTTCCTCTTCTGGGGTCCCCCTCTTCACAAGGCTCTGTGGGGTCTCAGGCAGGCCCCCTTGAATATATAGTGCCCACCGGCTAATTCCGCCTGCTTTTCCTGCCTTGCAGCTCAGTAACCTCCACAACGCTGGTAAAAAGCCTGGAGAACATAAAGAAGGCTGATCCAGAGGTAAGAGAAGAACTCAAACCTCCATTTCACTGCTGTGCCCAATGAGGGTGGTTACGGCTCCATCCAGGTGGAGTCACTGTCATTCTGCGTGGCCTTACTCGGTGTTATAGCTCAGCATGCCAGCCAGTGCTGGGCAGAGCAGGGGCTCGGGAAATCTTCATCACCAAAGTGAGAGTCCCCCAGGAGGGAGTGGGGTGGGTCCATGGGGCCTCCTGGTAGGGCCACAGGAAAGACCACTGGACTCAGAGTCAGAAAATCCACGTTCATGGGATGCCTGGGTGGCTTAGTCGGTTAAGCGTCTGCCTGCGGCTCAGGTCATGATCCCAGGGTCTTGGGATCGAGTCCTGCGTTGGCTCCCTGCTCAGTGGGGGAGTCTGCTTCTCCCTCTCCCTCTGCTGTTCCCCCTGCTTGTACTCTCTTGCTCTCTCTCTGACAAATAAATAAATGAAATCTTAAAAAGAAATCCCTGTTCAAGCCCAGCTCTGCCACCTCCCAGAGCCACACTTTTCTCACCAGTAAAATGAGGATGAGGACAAACAAAGTTGACCTGTTTTGAGATTCAAATAACCTGATGATCTGCAAGGGCTTCATAATCTCTGGGCACTGTGGAACCGTAAGGGATAATTGTGGTATAATCAGGAGTTAAGTGAAGGAGTTAATGGTTCGGATTAAATATTCGGGGACCTTAAGAAAGAGGATTGGGGTACCTGGTGGCTCAGTTGTTAAACGTCTGCCTTCGGCTTGAGTCATGGTCCCAGGGTCCTGGGATCGAGCCCCACCTTGGGCTCCCTGCTTGGCGGGAAGCCTGTTTCTCCCTCTCCCACTCCCCCTGCTTGTGTTCCTTCTCTCGCTGTGTCTCTCTCTGTCAAATAAATAAATAAAATCTTAAAAAAAAAAAAAAAAAAGAGGATCAAGAAGAACTTTTTCTTCCATTTCTTCCATATTATTTCTTCCATTCTTCTGTTTGTAACAGAGCTATAAATAATTGCAATTAGGGTCTGAGAAATGAATTCATTTCCTTGAGCTCCCTTTCCTCCCTCTCTTCCTCCCTGCTTTCCTCGCTCCCTCCTTCCCTTCTTTTAAAAACTCCTCTTGGAATATTTACTTTCCCATCTTTTGCCCTGTTTGTGACCCAAGAGTAGGATTTTGTCACAACATAGTGCAGGGGCCTTCAGAAGGCCAAGAGTTTGTCACTGGATGACATCACCTCCCCAAATAGTGACAGGAACATGAATTACAAAGTACCACCGACCTCACAAATGTGAAGTCCAGCGAGGGCTGTCCCTGCCCTATAAACCCTCTTGAAGAGCTGACCCCGGTTAGGTGCTGATCAATGCCATCCTGCCATGCCTCTAATTAGAAGGAACTAAGCACAAAGTACAAATAATCTGGCAAGGTAAGGATTCCCTGCTGCTACCTAAGTGCCCATCCAAACGAAGAGGTCTGTCTTTTGAAGCAAAGAATTTGGTTCTTAAGATAGAGCTTTTTGCTGACTAGCCAATTTTCTTAATTTTCGGGAAGACTGGGGACTGAATTATCATTATCAGTGATCATTTTCTAGCTCTTAATAATCCTCTGGTGTCGATGCCCTGTGAATAGTAGTAGGTGGCTTTTTACTTTGGCACGTAACATTTGCTGATTTTTAGTAACGTTTATACTATTTCCCCCCACCTACCCAGAAACATGTTTACTCTTCAATAGCCACACGGGAACAGATGGAGGAGGAAGAAGAATCCAGTGGAAAAGCAGAGGCCACCTACATGACCATGGTGAGAGCGCTTCTGGGCCCTGCTGGGCCAGGTGTCCGGAGGGTGGGGAAGGAATTGGCAAAGATGTGGCAATGTAGCTAGATCACCTTGGGGGGTGGGGGGGATGTCACTCTGCTGAGGACAGAGCTATTTCTACATAGTAGGGAAGTCTGAGAAGCTGACGCTCTGCTGGATAGAAAAGTAACACCCAACTTGCCATCATACCCAGTCTCGAGGATTTATTTATTTATTTTAAAGATTTTTATTTATTTGACAGAGAGAGACACAGCGAGAGAGGGAACACAAGCGGGGGGAGCGGCAGACAGAGGGTGAAGCAGGCTCCCCGCCGAGCAGGGAGCCCGATGCGGGGCTCGATCCCAGGACCCTGGGACCATGACCTGAGCTGAAGGCAGATGCTTAACGACTGAGCCACCCAGGAGCACCCCCAGTCTTGAGTATTTAAAGGTCATTAGGGCTAAAGATAATTGATTTTAGTGGTGAAAAGAGGCACCTTTGTCAGGGAGAAGCAAAGTGCCTCTGCCTCATTAGAGATTGAACACAACCTAATAGAGAGGGTAGCATAGATCCTTGGACAAACGTTGTGTCACAATTTTCCTTCCAATCCAAGAGTCCCTTCCAATTCTTACATTTTTAAATTCTATGGCTTATGCTGTTTTGACGTAATGTGATTGCCAGGAAGGCTGCATTCTGTATAAAAATATGGAGTCGGATTCCTGCTCTCTCCTTCCTCCACTCCCCAGGGAAGTACAGCACCTAGAAAAGGCACCGGCGTGTAGTGAGTAGAGTAAGGACAGAAGGAGCGAGCTGGCAATGGGCACGGTTCTATTTGTAGGCTAATAATAGGCACCCAGGCCGGAAGGGAGCCGTGTTCTGCTGGGCTCAGGAAGGCTGGCCTCCTCCGTTTGGGGGACGGTGGCTTGTGCTTGTTCTCATCACACCAGCACTGAGGACACATGACTCCCAGATGATGGCAGTGGAGAAAGATCCTGCTGAGGAAGCGTGAGGTCAGGGACCTGGCCGGGTTCCACCCAGTGAAACAGTAGCCCCACTCTGAAGTCGCGTGCAGTCCTGTTGCCCCCGCTGTCCTTCTCCCGGGATTACCACGGGATGCTCCAGGCGCTGCCGGGCTTCGTGTGGCCTCCTGGACACCCGCTGGCGACAGCTGCACGGTGGCTGAGAGCGGCCCTGTGGCATGACACTGGTGGCAGAGAATCTGGGAGCCCCCCCCCCCACCGTGTTCAGCAGAGGTGCTTGGATTGAAACTCGGCGGAGAACGGCACTTCTGTCATTTGGAAACAGGTCCAATGAGGCGAGTGTGATGAGACGCCAAAGTCACAAGACTCAAAGGCCTGTAGAGACCGGTCGGGTTGTTTTAAAGGCCGTGGGCCAAATTCGGGAAGCCTCTGGGCGAATCCCGGCCCACGGGCCGCCTGTTGGAGACCTGGGGCAGAGAGGTGTTATTTGATTAGGGAGCAGGGATAACAACAAACCTTGGATTTTGTTTTTTTGTTGTGGTTGAATTGATTACATTTACTTCAGAGGAGGGGGCACCGCGCCGTGTCCCCTTTCCGGGGCCGGACAGCACAGTGGTTAACATCACAAGCTTTGAAGTTGGGCAGACCTGGGCCCACAGGCCTGGCTCTATGACTTAGACGCAGGTAACTTAGTCTCTCTGACACTCGGTTTCCTCATCCTTAAAATGGGAATCATAGTATCCACCTCCCGGGTGGTGAGGCTGTCACGCATGAGTGCTTGTGAAATTCAGAATTGGGCCAGAGAGATGGAAAGAGCTCAGTACGTGGTCACTATTCTGATGGAAATACTTACACCTGTGCTTTCTTTCTTCCCCACCCCCCCTGCAGCACCCAGTTTGGCCTTCTCTGAGGTCAGCACCCAGTAACCCACCTGAAAAACGTCAGCTGGGGGAATTCTAAAACCAGAGCAAGACCTTTGAGAAGAAAGGAGAGTTCCTTTTGCGCTTAGCGTGGCAGAGACTCCTCTGTGTGTCCTGAGTTACTGGATGGGTTGTTCCGGGACCCCCCCCCCCCGAGTTATTCTCCTGCCTCCTTGGTCGAAGGGCTGAAGAAGAAGGGTTCAGAGCCCGGCAGAAAGACGGGACAGTTGGGAGGGACAGGCCCCGACGGAGCGAAGCATGGATGCTGTCCTTCGGGAGCGGGACGCTGGCCCTGGGGATCCTGGCCGAGCGGCCACGGCAGCCTCAAGCATTCCATCAGCTCCTCAGCTTGGATGGTGTTCTTCATGGATGGGTCCCTGGGAAGAATTGCAGAAATAAAAACCAACCCAAATGATTCCTTTGGCAAATCACCCCTAAATAAATGTGGCTTGTGGAAACCATCCTGTTTGTATACCCTGGCTGAGGGGCAAGCGGAGGCTGGGTGAGGAATTTAAAGTCAGGAATGCCTCCGACAACTGAAGAGAGGAGAGCCGTTCTTGGTTCACACTGGAGACCAGTGTTGGCCCTGGGACTGTGTGGGGGCAAATGGGTTGCAGTGGGGTATGGATACAGCTCGAGGATTTAACCCAGCCCTTGTCGGCCTGGCTGGGTATCAGAATGGCTGGTGGCTCTTTGCTGGGCCTTGCTGGAGACATCTGAGCTGGAGCTTGGGCATCTGTCTTTTTCAAATGTGGAGCTCATGGGCTGCCAAAGTGGACAGTCACTGATGTAGCTCTTGGTCTGAAAGGTGAGGTTCCTGTACGTTTTGGTTACCATTGTCAGATTTAATGAGGTTCTTTTTTTTTTTTTTTAAGATTTTATTTATTTGACAGAGAGAGACACAGCAAGAGAGGGAACACAAGCAGGGGCAGTGGGAGAGGGAGAAGCAGGCTTCCCGCTGAGCAGGGAGCCCGATGCAGGGCTCGATCCCAGGACCCCAGGATCATGACCTGAGCCGAAGGCAGATGTTTCACCGACTGAGCCACCCAGGCGCCCCTAATGAGGTTCGTTTTAAAGATCCTTTGGTTCTCGGGGCACCTGAGTGGCTCAGTGGGTTGAGCATCTGCCTTCAGCTCAGGTCATGATCTCGGGGTCCTGGGATCAGGCTGCACGTTGGACTCCTGGCTCTGCGGGGAGTCTGCTTCTCCCTCTGCCTCTCCTCCCTTCTTGTGCTCTTTCTCTCAAGTAAATCAATAAAATCTTTAAGAAAAAAATAAATGAAGATTCTTTGGTTCTGAGCTCCCATTTCTAGCCTGGGCTCTGCTCAGGCCTTCTCTCTTCCACCACCAAGGTTCTTCCTCCTTCTCCGCACCCCTCCCTGCCACTTAGCCATTCAGGGCATGGATTTCTGATTTAATCTCAAGTGGAGCTACATTTTTGTTTTTGTGGGGTTTTTTTGTTTGTTTGTTTTGGAGTTGGGGAGGAGCAGAGGGAAGAAGGAGAGAGAGAATCTCAAGTAGACTCCCCTTGGAGCCTGATGTGGGGCTCTATTTCACAACCCTGAGATCATGACCTGAGCCCAAATCAAGAGTCCAATGCTTAACCAACTGAGCCACCCAGGCACCCCTGGAGCTACATTTTTGGATTCCTCTTTAACTCTCCACACTTCAGGATCCTCTTATAACACATCCATCATTACCTCTTTCTCTTTTACCAACTGTTCTTGGGTGTCTATTTGGAGTCCTGTAGCCTCCGTTTGTTTTTGGTCAGCCATGGCTGAGAGTCCTTAAATGCTTCCTTCTCACCTGTTAGCTCTAAATAAGGAATATGTCAATATTTTGCAATATGTGCATCCTGTCCAAGACATACCAGAGAAGTGACACATTCTGCCATGGTAAGTAGAGTGGGGAGAAAGACTTTCATATCCTAAGAATTCATGGAGAGGAAGTGATTTCATTCCTGGGCTATTAGGTAACATGCTCTCCTGGGCTAGGGGCTCCTTTTCTACTTCCTCAAATAGCATCTGCAGAGGAGGAGGACCTTGAGGATACGAGTTAGGTGGATGGATGGGGATTAATTCTGGTGTTCTGGATCAAAGAGAATAAATTGGGGTGAGAGCTGGAGGGAGGGCTGTGCAGTTACCCTCACACTCCTGCAGGGGCGCCTGGATCGGGGATGTGTGGGCACACCCCTCCAGAGGTGGACTGGCCCAGATCTGAACTCGATTCATTCAAAGTTTGGCTTCCATTTCGGGTGGAGCAGTTGTAACCGAGGAGGAGGAGGAGGAGGAAGGCTACTTCTCTCTCCCAACCCTACCTCCCCACAAACCTTTCTTTTACACACAGTCCTCAAGTCAAGGTGGAGAGTGGAAATCACAGCTGTCGAACACCAGTTTTTCCTCACACCAGAACAGCCCTGCGGGGACCAGGAGAAGATCTGTTTGCTCCCCCATGCTCTTCTCCTAGGGGTGGCCGTCTGTTAAGTCCAGGAGCACGAAGGCATATGGTGTACGGAATGGGCTTGAGGCTCCAGCAGGCCTGGTTCAAATCCTTGCCTCTGCCTTTGCTCTCTCTTCAACGTGGCAGTTTACTTCAGTTCTTTGAGGCTGCTTCCCTTCTACATAAAATGGAGACTCATAGGGTTTTTTGTGAGGACTAAATGGGGTCACTTAAGTGCCAGCGCCTGGTGTGGGCCTCCAGGCCCTTCCAATGTGTTCTTTCCTAGTTGGATTTGTCTTCCAGTGATTCAGTCCCCATCTCTCATTAGTTTTTCTTTCTTTTTTTTTTTTTTTAAGATATTACTTATTTATTTGAGAGAGAGAATGAGAGACAGAGAGCAGGAGAGGGGGCAGGGTCAGAGGGAGAAGCAGACTCCCTGCCGAGCAGGGAGCCCGATGCGGGACTCGATCCCAGGACTCCAGGATCATGACCTGAGCCGAAGGCAGTCGCTTAACCAACTGAGCCACCCAGGCGCCCTAGTTTTTATTTCTATGGGCAGGAAACCCTTTAACCCAACACACCTAAATCCCTCTTCCCACCCAAAGGAGGAGAGAGCTAGGAAGGGTTTTGCATAGCTCTGGGTGGGGGGGGCGTTCCACGGGTGGGATTGCTGCTGGAGACAGCAAGCTGGATCTCCTTGTGGTAGATCCTTTAGCTAGCGCTTCTGTTGCTTAAATTTGCACCAGTTTAAGTCCCTAGAACACCAAATGCTCCCATATTCAAAGATTTCCAGAAGTATGCAGGCTTTTGCCAAAGGAAATGAGGCCTTGAAAGGGTGGAGGGGGTGGGGCCCCCCATGAATAATGTAGAAGTTGGCAGCCTCAGAGTTTGGCTGTTGGAACTGAAAACACTTCAGCCCATTCCCTGGGGACCTGGAGAAGATGTGCCTCCTGGAAAAGGCTGCAGCCTTCCACCAGCCCTTTATTCTTTGTTCCTGGTTCCCACCCCACTTTGTCTCCTTTTGGCTAGTCAGTATGCTTTCATGTCTGCATTGATGGTTTATCTTATAAAATGCTAGCCGTGCGCACGCACACATGCGTGTGTGTGGGTTTGGAAGGGGTCATGCTACCACTGAATTAGCTTAGTTACTTGGAGCCAAAGAAGCTTAGGTTGCAAATTTTGTCCCAACACAGACCAGTTATCCCCTTATTAAGAAAAGACAAAGTTTCTTAGGACTCTTGACCTTCTGTCCAGACCAGCTGGCTTGTGAATGTGGTCTGGTCTTCCTCAAGGGAGATCAGGCAATCCATAACCACTTCCGTAAAACTCAGCTCTCAAAACCTACCTTCTTTATCAAAAAATAAGGGAACTCAAGAGTTTTCTCAGAAAGCTAAAACCTTTCTTTTTTAAAAATATTTTATTTAGGGGCACGTGGGTGGCTCAGGCGTTAAGCGTCTGACTTCGGCTCAGGTCATGGTCCCAGGGTCCTGGGATCGAGCCCCACATCGGGCTCCCTGCTCGGCGGGAAGCCTGCTTCTCCCTCTCCCACTCCCCCTGCTTGTGTTCCCTCTCTCGCTGTGTCTCTCTCTGTCAAATAAAATCTTTAAAAAAATATTTTATTTATTAGAGAGCGTGAGCACGAGCGGGGGAAGGGGCAGAGGCAGAGGGAGAAGCAGACCCTCCCCCTCCTTGAGCAAGGAGCCTGAAGCAGGGCTTGATCCTGGGACTCCAGGATCATGACCTGAGCCAAAGGCCGATGCCTAATGGAACTGAGCCACCTAGACGCCCCTAAAACCTTTCTTATTTTATAGATGATGAGAGTAACAGTGATTGGCCTGTCCCAGAACTTTCAAGGCACCTGTCTGAACCCCTCATCCTATGTTCATGGCCTTCTGAGGTTGGGTGCCATGTTGTCTGCCCATCCATTCCTCTCATTTTTTTTTTTTTCCATGACAGGACACTCTGCTTCATATACCTGTGTGCTTTCTGCTTCTAAGCCTTTGCTCTTGGTGTTTCCCTGACTAGAATTTCCTGTCCCTTCTTGCCTGCCCAAATCAGTCTTTCAAGGCCCTGCTTCAGTCATCTTTCTCACGTCTTCCTGGATGTCTCTCCGTTTACCAGATTTTATCTCCTAATGTTCTCCATTTGTCTCATGGGTATGGGGCTTCTCTAAGAGATCTTAAGCTCTTAGAGACCCTGTTTTAGGTCTTTTCTGTGTGTTTTGCAGCATCTGACCCCACGTGGGTCAATCCTTTGTTGAGTGGGATTCCTAGAAATGGCATGGGACAGCACGCACAGGGAGCTGCTGGACCTGGCTTCCAGCTGGAGTTCTACCCCACCTTGACTGCATAAGTTTAGGCTGATGGAGTTTCTGCCCTTTCCCCAGATAAAAGTAGACCTTCATTTATTCTTATGTGCTCAGGGACAAGGAGAGGCTCTGCTCAAACTCAAAATGAGACCCAACCCCTGTCCTTAGAGAGCTATAATTTAGTTGGGGAGATAAGATATGTAAACAAAAGATGACAATCCTTTCTGATATCCAGGCAATACCAGGTGTACCTTTGTTCCTGTACCCCTTGTTGAGGGGAGTTTATACCTTTGACTCCCCATCTAGAATGGAAGGAGGGTGAGCTGTATCTTATTCATGGCTGAATCTCTAGCTTCTAGCCTGGTGTCTAGCACACGGGGGACATTAAGTAGATATTTGAGTTTGTTGAATGAGGGAGTTGATAAACAAATGAGTGAACGCACCAGTGTTGCAGGTGCCCAGAGAGAAGAGGTACGTAGGAGGTAAGGAGGAGGTAAGTTGTAGCAGATTTTTGAAGAAAGACTAGGAGGTTGCTGAACAGACAAGAGAGGAAGGGCATTCCCAGAGGAAGAAACGGCAAAGGAAGGACACCAAGATGTGAGCGCTGGGCTGGGTGAGAACCTCCCAGTGTGTGATGGCTGGAGATGGGCGAGGGACAGAGAAGAGAGGTGAGTAAAATGAGTCCATGCCTTTGTTATTCCTCATGCCT